TGAAATTTAGAAATTCCTTGACTAAATGAGAATGAAAATACAACATACCAAAATCTTTGGGACACAGCAAAAGCAGTGATCTGAGGCCAATTTATAGCAATAAATGCACATATCAAAAAGAAGAAAGAGCCAAATTCAACACTTTAAACCAACATCTCCAACAACTAGAAAAAGAACAGCAAGAAAAGCCTACAGTCACCAGAAGAAATTATTAATAAAGGTTCGAGCAGAAATCAATGAAACAGAAAATAGCAATAGAAAAAATCAACAAGACCAGAAGTTGGTTTTTTGAAAAGATCCATGAAATTGACAAACAACTGGCAAATTTAACAAAGGAAAAGAGTGAGAGAATACAGATAACACGGATAAGAAATGAAATGGGTGACATCACAACAGAACCAACTGAAATAAAAAATAATATCAGGATATTATGAAGAACTGTATTCCAACAAATTTGAAAATCTGAAAGAAATGGACAGATTCCTAGAAACACACCACTTACCTAAACTATCACAGACTGATGTGGAAAAGTTGAACAGGTCCATCACAAAAGAAGAAATTGAACAGGTTATAAAAAATTACCAACTAAAAAATGTCCTAGCCCAGAGGATTTTACCAGAGAATTATGCCAAACATTCAGAGAAAAACTGACACCAATCCTACTCAAACTATTCCAAAACATAGAAAAGGATCAAATCCTTCCTAACTTGTTTTATGAAGCAAGCATAACCTTGATACTAAAACCAGGCGAACACATCACTCAGAAGAAAAAGTACAGACCAATATCCCTCATGAATATAGATGCAAAAATCTTCAACAAACTCCTAGCCAATAGACTCCAACAACATATCAAGAAAATCTTTCATTATGACTAAGTGGGGTTCATATCAGGTATGCAAGGATGGTTCAACATTAGAAAAACAAATCAATGTCATCTACCACATAAATAAAAAGAATCACATGATCATATCAATTGATGCAGAAAAGGTATTTGATAATATCGAATACCCATTCCTCAAAACTCTCAGCAAAATACGAATAGAAGGAACATTCCTCAACATAATAAAAGACATCTATGCAAAGTCAACAGCCAACATTATTCTCAGTGGAGAGAAACTGAAACCATTACTTTTGTGAACAGGAATCGGAGAAGGATGCCCTCTATCACCACTTCTATTCAACACTGTATTGGAAGTCCTGGCCGGGGCCATAAGGCAAGAAAGGGAAATCAAAGGCATCCATATTGGTAAGGAAGAAGTCAAACTATCCCTATTTGCTGATGATATGATCCTATACCTAAAAAACCCAACAGACTGAGTAAAAAATGTACTGGAACTAATTGAGAGATTTAGCATCATGGTAGGATACAAGATCAACATCCAAAAATCAGTTGGATTCCTCTACAGCAGAAAAGAGATTGCTGAAAAAGAAATAAGAAATCAATACCATTTGTAATAGCTACCAAAAATATAAAGTACTTGGGAATAAATCTTACCAGGGACACAAAAGACCTCTACAAAGAAAACTATAAAAGACTACTTCAAGAAACCATAAGAGATCTACATAAATGGTAGAAATATCATGCTTGCGGATAGGAAGATTGAACATTATGAAAATGTGAGTTCTACCCAAAGCAATCTATGCATTCAATGCAATCCCAATCCAGATCCCATCAGCATTTTTTAAGGATATGGAAAAAACGATTACTAACTTTACATGGAAAGGAAAGAGACTTCACATAAGTAAAGCACTATTGAAGAAGAACAACAAAGTAGGAGGTCTCACACTGCTGGATCTCAAAACCTACTGCACAGCCACAGTAGTCAAAATTGCCTGGTACTGGTACAACGACAGACACATAGACCAATGGAATAGAATTGAGAACCCAGAAATAGATCTATCGACCTGTGGTCAGCAGATCTTTTGACAGAGGGCCAAAATCCATTAAATAGGGAAGAGAATGTTTGTTTAATAAATGGTGCTGGCAAAACTGGATATCCATTTACAGGAAAATGAAACAAGATCTGTGCTTCACACCATACACAAAAGCTAACTCCAGATAGATCAAAGACTTAAATGTGAAACCTAAAACTATAAAGTTCCTCAAGGAAAAACTAGGGGCAACTTAGGGGCCCTTATATATGGCATAAATAGACTATGAAGCACAACCCAAAATGTCCAAACAGCAAAAGAGAAACTAGATGAATGGGACCTTCTAAAAATTCAATTTGTATGTGCTTCCAAAGACTTGTCCAAAAGAGTCAAAAGAGAAACTTCAGATTGGGAAAAAAAAATATTTGGCAATGACATAGCTGTCAAGGAACTTATCTCTAGAATTACTGCAACAACAACAAAAAATATAATTAAAAAATGGGCAGAAGACATGAATAGACACTTCACCAAGGAGGACATTCAGGTGGCCAACAAACGTGAAGAAATGTTCACGATCATTAGCCATTAGAAAGATGCAAATCAAAACAAAAATGAGGTACCATCTGGTCCCAGCACTAGCAGCAATTTCAACAAGACAGAAAATAACAAATGCTGGTGAGGATGCAGAGATTGGAACTCTCATACAGTGCTGTGGTGGGACTATAAAGTGGTACAACCACTGTGGAAAGCAGTGTGACGATTCCTTAAAAAGTTCGAATTAGAAATACCATTTAACCCAGCCATTCCATTATGAGGTATATATCCTAAAGAAGTGAGAGCCATGACAAGAACAGACATATGCACACCCATGTTCATTGCAGCACTATTTACAGTGGCCAAAATATGAAAACAACCTAGATGTCCGTCAGCTGAGGAATGGATAACTACATTATGGTACAGATACACAATGGAATATTATGTAATCCTGAAGAATAACCTAGAATATGCAAAACACTGCATAAGGTGGATGAACTTGGAGGACATTATGCTGAGCAAAATAAGTTGATTACAGAAGGACAAGTACTGTATTCATCAGTTATTGTAAAAGTGAAGGAATGGTTTATTTATAGAAGGAAATTTTCTTGGTTACCAGGGGTGAGTGGGGAGGGGAGGGAACACTGTTAGATAGGTAGGGATAAGTATTGATTTGGGTGAAGAGAATGGCAATGTACCAAATCTAAGTGATCAGCATGGTGGCATTGAGGAAGAGGAAGACATAGAAAGATACATGATAGAGAGGTATATGGGAGGTGAAGACAACAAAGATGAACCCTTTTGCATATACAGTATTTCATTGTCAGTGAAGGCAAACATGGGTATACGAGTGGATAGATGGGTGGACGGGCTGAACTATTAGGTGTATCTATGTAGTGGGGAGTTTACCCAAGACCATTTATAGGTTTGGCAGACAGTGGTTCTACAAGTGTCTTTGTATGATCGGTAAGAATTCTCAGGTGTATAATAAAGCTGACAAGGGACAAGGTTGTAGTCATTTCTTGGTCATAGGCAGCTATCCAGAGGGAACAAGTTGGCTTGGGACCATAGTCACAGGGGACATCAAGCTTAATTGGCATAACATACTACACAAAACATTGTTTCACCTCCTACTTTGGCAAGTAGCGACTGGGATCTTAAAAGCTTGCAAGCTGCCATCTAGATGCAACGATGGATCTCTCCTTGTGCAAAACAAAGAAGAATGAAGAAAACTGAAGATTCATAGAAACAGTTAGTCCTAGCAACTGGTACACCGTGTTATCTGCAGTCTGTACAACTGAACTAGATGGTGCCCAACTACCATTGTCAACCACTCAGAGGGTGATCTATGTAGGAGATCCTGGATAGGTAGGGAGAACAATGTGGAACAAAACTCAAAATAATTTTTGGGGAAAAGGGGGGTGGGGACCAGGTTTGCTGGTCTGATAGGTCCTGGTGGAACCACTGAGACTATGAACCCAAGCTGCCCTTCAGGTCTGGAATTGAACCCACACCTGCAGCTTGCAGCCAAAGAAAGACAGGCCTATCAATTGAACATTTACTTGAGGTAGATCCACTCCTTGGAGAGAGCAATCATGGGTGAAAGAAGGGCTGTTTATGCCCTGGGAGACAGCTTAAGGGGTAGGAGTGCATGGAAAGATGGACGGACACAGGGAGGAGGTAACTATGGGGAGGATGTGGGGGGGAGCTGTTGCATTGGGGTAAATTGTAGTCAGGGTCATGACAGAAAGTATATGTGAACTGCTGTATGGAAAGTGAATTTGCTCTGTAATTTTTCACCCAAATCAATTTAAAAAATAGTAAGATAAATGTTTACTAGATCAGGTTTGGTAAAGAATAGGAAAAGACAGATAAAAAAACAATTTAAATCAGCAGATTCTCACCATTCAGAGTACCATTATCAGCATTTTGATGTATGTTATCTTTTTGCTTTTCCATAAAAGTGTGTTTGTTTATGTGTGTATTTCTTAATAGAATAGGAGTTATACTATATATACTATTTTATAACCTGCTGTTTTTTGCCTAACTTGTTTTCATACAATTCATACACTATTCATACAATTTCATACAATAGTCCCCTAAAACAAAATTGTTACTGATTTGAGTAGCATTCCATCATGTGAATTTAACACATCTTTATTTTTTTCCCCCTTTTTTTTTTTTTGTTGGGGGGGGTGTCATAAATAACAGCATAATGAACATCCTTTTTTTTTTTTTTTTTTTTAAATTATCTTTGATTATTTGATTTTAGTAAGTTCCTAGCAGTAGAATTACTGGGCCAAAGGGCAGCTTGCTACACAAATTGTAAAATCATCATCCAGAAGAGTTATTCATATGTAAGTCCCCACAGTAATGTGTGAAACGTAAAGGCCTAAGTCCTTGCCAGTATTAGGTGATTTTTAATTATACCTATAAAGAAAAATTTGTGCTATGTAACAATGATACTTTTTAAAATCATTGTTTAATAGATGGTATTGTATTTCTGGATAGTATTGTGTCCTTTTAACAGATTTGGCATATTAAAACAATGCTAGCTTGAAAATTGTATTTTCAAACTGATATTTTCCCCATAGGTAAGACTGATAACAACAAAACCAAGGATTTATATCGAGATGTGATAACCATCTTTGACAAACTCCTGTTGCCTACTCATGCCTCCTGCCATGTACAGTTTATTATTTTTTACCTCTGTAGCTTCAGATTGGTGAGTAACAATGTCATTAACATCATCTTAGCTTTTTTTTTTTCTTGCCTACTAACATTTTCTCCTTTAAGAAATGGGGGTGGTGCTCAATATACTTTCAACCATAAAGCCAAAACTCAGTGCTTCCAAGGCGATATCACTATGGAAGTAGATTGCCCAATCTTCCTTCCGAAGAGTGGCTGGTGGATTTGAACCTCCAGCCTTCTGGTTAGCAGTCATATGCCTTAAGCACTATGCCACCAGAGCTCCCAACTTTCATCCATATCACAATTTAAAAAAATTAAAGAAAAAGAAATGGGGGTGGGAAAAGACCATAAATTCTTTATTTATTTCTGATTCTTTTTCTTGGGCAATCTACCCGTAGTGATACAGCCTCAGAAACCCAAGAAGAGTCATTATGAGTTGGATCCAACTCAGTGGCAGTGGTTTTTTTTTTTAATTACATTCCCTTTTCAGCACATGAAACAGCAGAAAAGATTAATTGCCGCCTGTCAGTTCAGCCAAATGCTTTGAAAGTGTCATCTTGCATCCACTAGATGGTATACTTCCTTTCAGTTCAAGCCTTTTTCTCTATTAAAATCTCGTATATGAAATGTTCAACTTTTTTTTTAAAAAAAATTATTTATTTATTTATTACTGTATACTGTTTTTCAGAGTTGAGTCCTAAAAAACCCAAACCAGCTTTTTAAGCCAGCGTTTTAAACCTTTTTTAAGTCTTTTGCTTTCTGTTTGGGGAGAAGAAATTACGGAAGGTTCTTTCTTCTCTTTTATAACTTCTCTTTTGTAGAACAATCAGGAGGAGCTCTGGTGGCACAGTGGTTAAAAGCGTTCGGCTGCTAACCAGAAGGTTGGCAGTTCACACCGATCAGTCACTCTGCTGGTCTTTACCAAGCAGTCTGCTTTGGTAAAGATTTATAGCCTTAAAACCCTGTAGGGTTGTTCTGCTCAGTCCTTGGGGGTTGCTTTGAGTCAGAATTGACTCAGTGGCAGTAGCTTTGGTGCGTAGAACAGCCAGGAGAATGTTAGGGATAGATAAGAAAGATGAATTCATTTTACCCAAAGGTAGGTGTTAATAGTTTTTAAAAAGATATTTGAAGGAGGGAGAGGACTTGTACCTTTTATTAAAAGGAAGCTTAATCAGCTTGTTTCTTTCCATGAGTAGTGTAATTAACTGAATACCAGCTATAGTTTAATCTACAGTTCTGCTTCTGAGTAAGATCAATATGTATAGTCAAAGACTGCATGGATACTTTGAACTCTAAGGTATTTTAGAAAGAATTCCTTGAGAGTATAGATTATCACCAGTTTCTGATTCTGGCTGAGCATCAGAATCACTTGTAGAGTTTTTAAAATAACGTAGATTCTGAAGCCCTGTCACAAACCTACTGAATCTACATCATTGTTGATTTTGATGTTCGGCCAGGTTTTGGATCCATTGGATTATTTAACACCTGGGGTGCCTTTTTGTTTTTAATAGCATTTTCTCAGGATGTTTTAAAAACAGGAACCATGATAACTTTATTCATTACTTAGCAGTGTGACTTAGATACTAAAACCTTCCTACCTGGTGAGCTAAAAACCAAAACCAAACCCACTGTCATGTAATCAGATCCGACTCATAGAGACCCCTCTTTGGGTTTCCGAGGTGGTATCACTACGGAAGTAGATTGCCCAACCTTCCTTCCGAGGACTGGCTAATGAGTTTGAACCACCAGCCTTCTGGTTAATAGTCATATGCCTTAGACAGTGAGCTAAAATCTTAGGATTATAGTAACCAGAATGTCTTAGGTGTTAAGAAAGATCAGATCAACACCTCTTTTTATAGGGATTTGCAGAAGCATTTTTGGAACATCTTTGGAAAAAATTGCAGGATCCAAATAATCCTGCCATCATCAGGCAGGCTGCTGGAAATTACATTGGAAGCTTCTTGGCAAGAGCTAAATTTATTCCTCTTATGTAAGTAACCTAAATTTCCAAGTACTTTTTCATATCATGCTTTAAAGTGGTTATAGCATTGTCTGAAGTCAAAGAAATATCTGCCTTATTTTTCGGTTTGACTTTATTGGTGAAGAAATCTGTTCCCCTACCTTTTAAGAGATGTTTTTATTTCTAAGAGGCAACTTCAGAAAAAAACATCTCCTTTTTTAGGTATAAGCCTCATATGTAAAACTTTTGTCATCTATTCTGTCTGGTTGTACTTCTGGATAGTGCACGGTGTTGTATACTGTTTTGATTCTTTTTTGTAGGTCTGTCATTTTTCATTTGCATTCCAAATCAATTGTATCTTTAATGATGAAGAAAAGCTCTTTTAAAGGTAATAGAAAGACCTACCCAGGAGGGCCAACTCTGGACCTATTTCTTCCAATCATCTATAAAGATAACTTTGAGCAAGGATGCTGTTAAAAATCCTCCAGACAGCTAAAAGTCCTCTGGCCATTCAAGTCCTAAATTGTTGACATTAGAATTTCATCAAGACTCCATAGGTAGTGGCCATGCCAACTAGACTGTCTTTTCCCTTGTAGGATGTTGGTAAACACGCCCCATTTTCTGGCTATATCACCTTGGAAGCATGAAGAAGCCTTTCTGAGTTGATTAGAAAAACTGTTCCCCATCTGTTGTATTGTTAGGCATCCTTAGGGACCTGCCTGTTCCTAGAAGGTCCATGCTGCTCTACCTTGTATAATTAGAAGGATGGCTTCCCACCCACTCATTCTTTTCCTTCCTTTATTTACTTCTCTTTTATGCCCATGATGACATCTAAAGAATTCTCTAACTTACTTTGTGTAGTTTGTAATGATAGGCAATTGTGTGTTTTTATGTCACTGTAGTCTTTTTTATGAAGCTTGTAAAGTTAACTTAAATTTTTCTTTTCTCTAGTACTGTAAAATCATGTCTAGATCTTTTGGTTAACTGGCTGCACATATACCTTAATAACCAGGATTCGGGAACGAAGGCTTTTTGTGATGTTGCCCTCCACGGACCGTTTTATTCAGCCTGTCAAGCTGTGTTCTACACTTTTGTTTTTAGACACAAGCAGCTTTTAAGTGGAAATCTGAAGGAAGGTCAGTGAATGAAGTGGATTGTAAGAGGGGGATGGACATAGACTGGATTTTTATTGTATACTTCGCTTCCTTTAGAATGGCATTTCTTTACATTTTTTGAGAATTTGGTGAAAACTCTGGATCCAGAAAAATGCACACACACTCAAACTTTTACAGATAATTTTCCCAGCGTATAGGCCCCATGAATCAGTGGTAGAATCCTCACCTTCCGTGTGGGAAACCCAGGTTCTCTTCCTCGCCAGTGCACCTCATGTGTAACCTCTACTGATGTCACCAGAGGCTTGTGTAATGCTCTGATGCTGAGCAGGTTTCAGCAGAACTTCCAGACTAAGATGGACTAGAGAGAAAGGCCTTGGTGATCCACTTCTGAACATCAGTCAGTAAAAACCCTATGGAGGAAAATGAAATTTCTCTGTATATTTTCACCCAAATCACATTGAAAAAATAAAAATTAAAACATAAAATTCTATGGATACAATGGTCTGATCCACAACCAATCATGGGGATGGCCCAGGACTAGCAGTATTTCTTTCTGTTTCTGTTATGCACAGGGTCACCATGAGTTGTGGACTGACTACATATCAGCTAACAAAGCCCCTTAGGCCTCCTCTTTAATAATTGATAGATTTGAGGTTGAGAACCCTTCTTTAGAGGGTAGCATCTCAAGTAGGTGTGAATGGTGAAGATGCTTTTCTTCAGATATGAGGTTGAGCAGTTGCTTGGTGCTAGTACTACATGAAGCTTTCTATGCACGCTTTCTTTGTCCTTTTAATAGTCCAATAAAGTTCAGGTGTCCTTCCCACTTTATAGATGAGGAGACCAAAGCACCGAGAAGTAATTTGCCCAACAGTCACATACTTGAACCCAGATGAAGCTGTATTTAAAGCTTGAAGTCACAACAGTTATGTTCCTATACCTGAAAAGCTGAGAATTCACATGCTAGTTCTCTCAGTTTTGCTAATATCTGAAGGATGTTTATCATTTAATATACCAAATTAGATGGCTACATTTTAATGGGTATAGGTTCTAAGAAGGGTGGAATTAAAGCAATTTAAGTTACTCTGTTTGTGATTTAATAGACTCTTTCCTCTAAACCAGAGTTCCTCAATCTCAGCACCATTTGGGCTTGGATAATCCTTTGTTGAAGAGGGCTGCCTTTTGTATTGTAGGATGCTTAACATCCCTGGCCTCTGTCCCACTGGATACCAATAGCAAACACCTTCCCCTACTTTAACAACCCAGTTGTGAAAACGAAAACTTTTTAGACATTGTCAAATGTCTTAGAAGGTATAATCAACCCTGGTTGAGAACCGTAGCACTAAACCCCAAAACTTTTGTATATATGTATTACATTATATATATTTATTTTCATCCCATATACTTTTAGAAGGATGGTAGGGGTTATGAACCACTAATGGGGCAAGGCTTTCTAGAATGATTTGGAGAGCTTAGTAAAATCTCTGCCTTTCTTTGTGTAAATAGATGACAGGCATCTTTGTTAAAGAAGATAGATTTCTTATAATCCATGCATCATTCCTGTGCATTGAAAAAGCTTCTTTTAAGCAAAATCTGTTTACGCAAGTTGGTCTGCTTGCATCTGTGTATGATATCTTCATTGAGCTAATGTAGGGCAAAATTAGAATCATTAGTTCTGGGACAGTGATTGCTAAGTTTTCTTTCTACCTCCAGAGTTTCCTTGTAAAGAAAATTTTAAATACAGACAGCTAATACACACTTGAAAATGATGTTCAATTTCATTAATAATTTAAGACATGCATGTTAAAATGAGATTACTGGTTTTTGTTTTATTGCCTGTCAGATTGGGCTATATATATTGAAGGAATTCAAGAGGAGATGATTTAACAGTCATAATCTCATAACCATATGTGATTTTTAAAAATTTTGCTCTCTCTGGAAAACTTTTTTTTAATAAATACCATGATAGTTAGCTGAGATCAAATCATGTAGTCTTTTTTCTCCCCTGTATAAACTCTTTATTTTATATAAAATGTACTTATTGCAAATACATTTTTCAGCAACCTAAATTACTATAGCTGTGGATGATGCCAGATGGAATACACAGAAATCAAGTCAACTACTTGTGTCAAAAGAGATAGTAGACAGCCTCAAAATCATCAGTCAGAACAAGGCCAGGGGCCAACTATGGAACAGATCTTTGTTCCTATGCAAGTTTACGCTGAAGCTGAGGAAAATTAAACCAAGTCCATGAGAGCCAAAATATGCCCTTGAGCATATCTCATCTGAATTTAGAGGCCATCTGAAGAATAGACTTGATGCATTGAGCACCAGTGACAGAACACCAGACAAATTGTGAGATGACATCAAAGTCGTCATATATGAAGAAAGCAAAAGGGTATTAAAAAGAAGGGAAGAATGTGCTTGGAATTTCTCAACTTGAAAGAACTGAAAAAAAATTAAAGCCTTGAGTTGCAGTATTGAACTGTGGGCAAAATATTGAACAGTATAGGAAGCGTCAAAAGAAGATGGAAGGAATACACAGAGTCCCTCTACCAAAACGAATTGGTCAACATTCAGTAATTTCAGGAGGTAGCATATGATTAAGAACCAGTGGTATTGAAGGAAGAAACCCAAGTTGCGCTGAAGGAACTGGCAGAAAACAAGTCTTCAGGAATTGATACTTGTTGAGATGTTTCAGCAAACGGATGCAACATTGGAAGTGCTCACTCATTTATGCCAAGATATTTGGAAAATAGCTACTTGGCCAACCAACTGGAAGAGATCCATATTTGTGCCTATTCCAAAGAAAGGTGCTCCAACAGAATGTGGAAATTACCAAACAGTATTGTAATATCACACATAATTAAAATTAATTATAAACAATAAAAAATGGATGTAGCATTCCATCTTTAGGGAGCTGCCAGAAATTCAAGCTGGATTCGGAAGAGGGCATGGAACAAGCTGGATTCGGAAGAGGGCATGGAACAAGCTGGATTCGGAAGAGGGCATGGAACAAGCTGGATTCGGAAGAGGGCATGGAACAAGGGATATGATTGCTGATGTCCATATGGATCTTGGATGAAAGCAGAGAATACCAAAAAGATGTTTACTTGTGTTTTATTGATGGTGCAAAGGCATTTGACTGTGTGGATCATAACGCATTATGGAAAACGTTGTGAGAGAATGGGCATTCCAAAACACTTAATTGTACTCATGAGGAACCTGTATGTAGACCAAATGGCAGTTGTTAGAATAGAACAAACCGATACTGCATATCTTTGGTCATTTTGTTAGGAGGGATAGTCCCTGGAGAAGGATATCATACTTGGGAAAGTAGAGGTTCAGCAAAAAAGAGGAAGACCCTCCACAAGATGGAGTGACACAGTGGCTGCAGCAGTGGGCTCCAGCGTAGCAAAGATTGTGACAATGGTATAGGACCGGGTAGTGTTTCATTCTGTTGTACATAAGGTCGTTATGAGTCAAAACTGACTTGAAAGGATCTAACAACAACATTTAAACTCTGCATATGCTAAGTTTACCAGTATTTGAATTCCAGATTGTCATCTGTAGGCTTATAGCCCACTAGGATAATGTGCCTTACTTCCTGGCTTACTTTTAAACGAGTGTGGTTAACTTAATGATGTTCTTCTCGGCTGTGTATGTGTGACTGTCTACATGTACCTTTATTTAAAGCGTTTTTCTTTTATTGTGATTTGGGTGAAAATTTACAGAGCAAATTCACTTTCCATACAGCAGTTCACATACACTTTGTCTCATGACATTGACTACAAT